AATGGACAATATTAATCACTAAGGCTTATTGTTTGCCATTCATTGATAGGTAGCATACCAAAGGGAAGTTCCATCTTAGAAGGATTGGGTAGCAGTTCGATGGTGCAATTGCCATAATGTGGTCTCCTCTTCAATGTTCCAAAATCTCCCCTCCTTGTTGATTTTATTCAATGAGGAAACCAACATTGTTTATTAAAATCTTCACAGAAATATACTTCATAACAAAAAAAAAAAAAGAAGAAAATATACCTATTAGGAAAATTTTCAAGAAATTAGCATTCCTCTGTTTAAAAAACTAGGTATGGCAAAAAGTCTGCTGTATCATCTTATGAGATACAAATTTCTGCAGTTTCACCACAGTGTAGCTGTCAGGGTTGAACATTTAAGTTGCATTTCGGTGTCGATACCTTGTGATCATATTTGTGAAAGTTTCTAAATATCTACTCCTATTATCTTTTTTTGAGAAGAATTGAGCCAGATTTTTCTTGAAATTTTTGTGTAATAATCTTAAAGTAGGAAAGATTAATCATGGAAAACTCCTTTAAATTACTTTAATTGACAAGAAATCCTTGTAATAGCAAATTGAAGACCTTCAATCATTAACGGGCTAAGTGCCAAAAAGTCAAGTTTCAGTTAGGTATTCAACATTTATTTCCCATATAGGTTGCCCGGCACATACCACGAAGCGCTACCTATCGAGGCACTTTGCACACCACTATCATGGTTGTAGCACTCAGCCCGCTTCACAGGTTGCTGTCCTTGGTACATAGAACGATATTCGAGGTCTAGCTCGATTTTCATTTTTTTGGCACTTTAGCCCGTTATTGATTTAAGGTCTTCAATTGAGGTGCATATTTTTCAAGTCAAGTCGTTGATTTTGTTTACCGCACACAATTTTTTAAAAAATCTGTCCAGCGTTACTTACCTTGAAGCAAATAAAAGTGCTCAGCTGATGGCATGAATTCCATGAAAATTTACCCCCAAATGATCTATACTTCTGCAGAACAATAGCAGGATCCTTAGAACCAAAAATCCTTCTGTTTATTTTGCGTGTCGGTGAGGCCATGGGAAGGAGTGATTTTTTTTCTTTCACTTTCTAATAAGGGCAAAAGCTGTGTCCATGTAGCCTCTGTTACCTCAGAAGCCAAAATGGATGAAAGCGGCAGCTCCGGGCATCCATCTCTCAGGAGGCTGCATGATTTCTAATTACTTAGATGCATATTTTATTTGTTTTGCAGACACTATTGCCCTTCATATTATCACTATCTGGTAGGAATGAAGCCCTCCTAGCTCAGCAAGCAATCGTTTCATCTCAAATCCACGATTTGTTGGTAACAAGTGACCATTAGAAGAGGATATATGGATGTGGAGAATTTTTTGAGTACTGTACCCAAAATTTCCACAGAGCCATGCATGAAATCAAGACTGAAATATGGCGACTATTATGCTTGTCCCGAATGTGGGAAACAGTTTACTAGATATCATGGTTTGAAAGTCCATTATAATTTGCACACAAAATTGCAGAAATTTATTTGTGAGCATTGCAACAAAGAGTTCTCTGATCCTTCAAATTTGCATTGGCACAAAGCAAAGCATTTAGGCCTAGAAAAAAAATACCAGTGCGATGATTGCGGAAAACCGTTTTACACCAGGAAGGAAATGAGGAGGCATGTGTTAACTCACAATAGGGATATGCGCCGTTACATGTGTACAAAATGTGAGTTTAGGGCATCTAACAACCATGATTTAAACTATCATAAGCGTATTCATTTTAAACCTTCTTTTCATTGTTCTGAAGGAGCTTGTTCAAAATCCTATTATTGTAAAAGTGACCTTTTAAGACACGAACAAACCCACTTTGGACTGCAAGAGTTCACCTGCGATATTTGCTCGGATAGTTTTAGTAGACGAGCAAACTTACATAGACACCAGGAATGTCATTCTTCTGATAATTTCAAGTGTGAACATTGTGATGCTCCTTACAAGCATAAACATACTCTTGTTAAACACCTCGAAAAACATCACAAGCATCGCAAGCAATTGAAAGAAGATTTTGATACTCTGTTTCTTTAAATTGTTTGTTACCTATTTTTGCTTATATCAACGGTTGTAATCTGCCATTACCATTGTGATCTCACTTAAATCTTTTTGACCCTCAGAATCAGAGACTCTAAAATATAAGTAATTATCAGCTCAAATCAAATAATTTGTTATACCATGTATTTTGGATTTTTATCAATGGTAAAATGAATTACAGGGCTTTGGACAAAGATTCAGGCAAGATAACAGTATTTATCATTTGGTTTCCCTATTACTCAGGTAACTAGTCTGTAAAACAGGCCTGCAAAGAAAATCACAGCAAAAACAGTCTGTTCTCCAAATAGAATTCAGTATTTCTTTTATTAGAGTAGCATGAGAAATACTGACATGCTAAGGAAGAACGCTGTATGAGCCTGCAGACGTCATCAAATTTCCTTTGATAAATCAAACATTTTTGGACAAATTTGCAAATATTTTTCTTCCGATTTTTCAGAGAATTTTGTCCCATTAACTTGATTCAAAGTAATAAACCGAAATTAACAAACACTAAACGAAAAGAAACAAACAGTAAATTGAGGTAACAACCTGTGAGCGGAATGATGAAGTAAAGAAAGCTGAAACTGAAAAACTCGAACTCAAAAAAATAAAAATAAAATTACGGACGCGTTTCGGGGCGCCCCGGCCCCTTCTTCAAGGCTAAATTCCGTCTGGTTGTTGTTCGTTGTCATTCCACTCATCTCCTTCTTTCTTATCAAGGCTGCCATCTACCACTCTGAGCAGACAGTTTTGCAGACATTCCAAATCCACCAACTTCTCTCTATTCTTGTACATTTACATAGCCTCCAAGATGTTTAGTTGCCTTCTATCATCGCATCAAATTAGCAGTTTTTCTTTATCTTTTAACTGATGTCCTGTTTCAAAATTGTGCATAGCTTCTGCTGATTTATCAATTTCCCTGTTTCTGATACTCCTTTGGTGTTCACCAATCCTTATTTTCATTTTTCTCCTCGTTTGACCTATGCACTGCTTTTCACAGTCTTTACATTTTAAACTATAAATGCACTCCTCCAACTCCACAAGCTCTATCTTCTTCAACTTTTTTCCTTGAGGCTACTATGAAAAGCTGACTTCAAAGTATGTTTGTTGACCGGAGCTGCCTTCAGGTGGTATTTTCTGAACACTTTTTTAAATTTTGAAAAATGATCTAGATGATACGAGATCTTCACGAAGGAAACTTCTTCTTCACCCATACTTTCCAGGGTAGTCACCTCCTTGATTTTTCTTTTGTATTCATTTTTGCATATTAAACCTTGTAGAGTTTTCTTTTGAAAACCATTTTTTACCATAATTTCTAAGATTTTTTGTTCTCCTTTTTGACAATCTTCAAGTGACAAATGGAACATTGAGCATACGATGGATTAAGCTGTTTAATTTATTTTTGTGAGTTTGAGTTTCTTAGTTTCAGCTTTCCTTATTTCTTTCCTGATGGTAAGTGTTCAAAAATTTCAAGGAAAATCATTCTCAACTTTCTTCAAAAATAAACATATTCTGAGAGGAAATTTTGGAAACATTTGGATGCTTATATGGCGCTTTTCCTTAGCTCTTTAGAATAAGCTCACCAGATATCAACGAGAGGTGCAGTTTTTATGGTTGTTGAGATCAAAAAACCACATCGCATGTCCTGCATTAAAATTTCTGAGGCAGGCCCAGTCCGCAGTCATAACATGCATACTTGAATTTAAATTTTGTTCGTAGCCTAGCCTTAACTTGAGATGATCTTTCATTTTGTACTACCTAGCTCTAAGATGAATAAGACTTTTGAAGAATGTGTACAAAGACTGAAATGTACATAGCCTTCTGTCTTTCAATTTCAAATGTGATAATAAAGATATTTTTCTTGAAACGCTTTCTTTTCTTTTTGTAATGTAAGTCTATCATATGCGGCAATGAGATAACATTTGACACTTAACGTCCTGTGTTGGACGAACGAGCCCACACTTGAAGATTTTCCATCAAGGGGCTGATGACACTGGCACCGTTTAACTAACAGCAATAAATGAAAATTGAGGCCCTGGATACGAAAAGGGCACTTCTCAGTTGCAGTGTTTCAGAGTCTCCTCTAACATTTCCATTCATTGTAAGGAAAAAAATGCATCCATTTCACTAAAACTTTCACTGAATATTACTTATGATTCTACAATTGTCAATGGAAAGAATTCTGACAAAATCACCCATTAAATTCTTCTCCAAGAGATTAATTAGGAACAGAGATTCGGAAACACTGCAATCGAGAAATGCCCTTTTCGTATCCAGTGCCTCAATTGAGGGGAAAAATTTTGTGACCAATGGAGGGAAAAATTTTGTGACCATGATTTTAGAGAAATTCAATTTTTCATCTAGGTTTACCCATTTCATTCACGTTATTACAGTGTCATGAAAACTAAATTGTTTTTAAGTGGCCGCAAAAAAGTAGAATTTGAATATCCTAACTTTTCTGGATTTTCCTTAACCAATTTTGAAAAAATTCCCTTCTCAGATGTGAAAGAATGATAAACAAAATTCTTAGATATTCTATTCTGCCAAGGAGGCAAGATATAGCTATGAAACTTGATAAGTAAGAATCCTTCTCTTCTGGAAATAAAGTTTTTCACTGATTGGGGCCACTCTGCATGTTGACATCCACATCAATGACTAAAGTGGAAATACGCATATTTCAGTAGCATTTAGCCCCTGAGGTACATGCTTTACTTATCTTCTTACTAATCACTTTGCGCGAGTATAGGGCCAAATCATTTCCATTCAAGATTCATAAAACCTCCATTTCATGATAGTATCGCTGACTTAAAATCACCAATTTGTGAGAAACAAACTTTTCTACTTCAGCAATCAATACGTTAAATCCTACCACTCAGACTGAAATGTATAAAGAGTTTAGAAGGAAATCAATATACCTCGCAGAGTGGGTTCAAGCATTTCAATTTATATTCTTTCATTAAAAATTATGTTTTAACTTAACCTTATCACAAGCAATAATAATTTAAAAGGTAAACATCAAAATAGAAAATCGAAATTCTAAGGCAATTTAAAAAACAGGATACAACTAAGGTTAATTACAAAAAAATAATCACATTTTAACCGGGAGATTTTTTTTAACTTTTTACACTACACTGTACAACGAATTTACAACTGAAAATCCTGGAAAAAAAACTCATGCGGAGTGAACATTTGAACACAGGGATGGATCATTTGGATGACACTAACTAAATTAGGCCTAACTGCATCTGGGGGCTGATCATTGAAATTGATAGACAAATCTGTAGACAATAAAAGAAACAAAGGCATCCTAGGTTGAAGCGGGTGCTTGTAATGGACAAAGGAGGAAAATAACGGACCAACTAACAGCAACCCATCGGAGACCCTATAGTTAGTCCATCATTTTCTTCATTTATCTATGAGAACCACCCATTTCAAGCAATAGGATCCTTCCATTTTCTCTGTGCTTACCGCTATGTCTTTCAATTTCAATAATCAGCCCACTGATGTTGCCTCATTTTCTCTCATGTTTTCCTTTTTCAAAAGAAAACTAAAAACTTTACGAGAATATTTTTCACCATCTAGGAAAAATTTAAAGAAAGTCTAGGTATTGGGTTGTTAAGTTTTCCTGTTAAAAGAATGAGATATTAGGGGAAATCGGAAACATGAAATCTGCCATGCTAGAGAAGATTGCCATAGTCTTCAGATGTTGCCATATTTCCTTCAATAAAACCTGAATTTACTGACAAAATATCGAATACTTTTCCTGCAACTCTTAAGACAATTTTGTTCACAATTTAATTTTGAACAACTCAAAATTTTAACCAAAAATAGGCGTAACTTTCCACAAAAATAAATGTTTTGTCTGGGGAAATTTGGCAACAGCAGAGTGCTCGTACAGCGTTCTCCCATAACCCGGCAGAAATGTAGTTAGGCTTACACTGGTCAAATCTGTGCAATTTTTGTGAATCAGAGAAGTTAAAAACTAGAGGAACAATAACTCAGGGTGTAGAATGCGCAGAAGCAACAGAGCAAGGTATGACAATAATGCTACCTTTAAGAGAGATCAAAAGTGATAATTAGCCTAAATTTAGAATTTAACGCAAAACTTGACGCCTAGTTCTTCGTCTTTCAATAGATAGTTGAACAGTTCACGCTTGACATCTAAACGATCAAGAACAGCGTCCTTCAGGAGGCTCACAGCGGCAGAGGCGTCTTCATCACGGAAGAAAATTTTCACTAACTCTTTCTTTGTCTCAGTGCTAACAGTGTACAAATTTCCCAATTTCTTAAATCCACTCAGTTCACTTTCAACGGTGTTACTACCTGATGCAACAGTATTAAGATCACTTCTAACAGTGGATGCTTGAATTAAGCTTGTTTCATCACAGCATTCAACGGGTATCTCAATATTGTTAGGTGTGGTGGATAAAGGAGAGTCTTTTTCTAGAGGCATGAGAACTGATTTCTTCTCTTCGGGAGGCTTTTCAAAAATGTTGCTAGAATTGGTGGACTCGATTTTATTGCTTTCACCATCATCTACTGAGGCAGGTCGTTCACTTTCCTGCACAGGCACTTTGTTAAACTTCTTTGAGCCAGTGGATCTCAAAACTTTACTTTTTGGCATGTCATGATCCATGGCCGCTTTTCTCTTTCTTAGCGATCGGACATTACTCTTTCCAGATTTTGGAACTGGACTTGCTTGGACAATGCTCTCACTGTTCTGACTACTTTCTTTGACTGGCGATTGCGAGGCGACACCAGATATGTTATCACTTGGCTGTTCACATTTCAACATTTTGTCGAAGCAGTCATCTTCCAACTCAAATTTTGTATTTTCAACAGGTCTGAGATCACTTTGTTCATGGTTATCTTTTCCATTAATTTCACTTTTGTCTGAGCTACAAGAGAGTATTGCCTTTTGAGATGTTGCCTCCTGAGAAGCGATATGATTTTCTCTTACCGTATCATTGAACTCGGTCTTTTCAACAGGATCTAATTCTCTGTCAGACTTGATCTCTGCAACAGAATGTATCTCATTATCATTATTTTCCATCACCACCTCGGAATCTTCTGGGCCTTTACCTTCTCCAGACTCTTCTACACTATCACGAGATACTTTGTCTTTGTCAGACATAGTTGAACTCAGTTGTTTTGTCTTGAGTTTAATTGTGTTATTAGACATTTTGATAAGATTTATTTCTCTATCTGACCTGATCTTTAAGATCGGATGTAATTCTTTGTTATCACTTTTTGTCACTACCTCTGAATTTTTAGAGTCTATACCTTGTCCAGACTCCTCAACATTATCAGAAGATACCTTGTCTTTGTCAATTACAGTTCTACTCAGTCGTTTTTTCCTAGATTTAATAGTGACTTGAGTGAGGCCTGACTTGGTGGAGGTTTCATCACATACCTTCTCTTCAAAAATTGGTTGAGATTCTTCAATTTTTTCGTTTGCTACTAATTCTTTCAAGACTGCTTCACTTGATCTTGCAGATTTTACTGTACTGTTTTCTTCTTCATTGGTCTTATTTAAAGAAACCACACTGATCTGATTACTATCTTCCACAACCTCGGTAGTTTCAACAATGTCTTCTTTGTTACTTAAAGACTCGTACTTCTCAACATTGTCTAAAGCAGCAACGGTCATACCATCACTATTATTTGTGCGAGATTCATGAGAGGAGACTGAGGCATCTTTCCCAGTTTTGGACTGTTGAATGACAGATTTTAGCTCTTTTACAATACTGTTCAGAGACGGAGGACTTTCTTCAACTTCTGGGTCTTGATTCGTGTTATTTTTCAATGAGCAAGAAATCTCGTTTTCAGATGGAGATACATCCGTGACACCAAAATCATTTACTCCATTAGTTATATCAGTCTGAGATGTTGGCACGACATCAACTGAAAAGACTGGTTTTACAATTTCAGTCTCGCAAATACTGTCATCGATACCAGAGTCTATGTTGATGGATGAGGCTATGACATCGTTTTCCTCTGGTCCTTCGCTGACAGCGGTGACTATTTTCTCCTCTTGTTTGGGTGGCTCATCTTTCTCCTTGATAGCTTTATCTATACCTGAAATTTTTAAAAAATAAATTAAATCAATTCTACAAGCATGCTTCTTGGACTTTAATATTCGAAAAGTTCTCGGTGAACCATAAGGCAGAGTTAGCGATCAAGCAGTTCAATAAATTCTCCCTTCTCTAAATTTTAAGTCCACATACATGGTCTTGAATACAACTTAAAAGAGAGAACTGGCGACTTTTATCTCCCTTTATTAAAATCTCCTGTTTGTTGGAAACTAAAGTCTACACGAGTCAAATATATTACAGATCAAACTAACTTTCACAATCTGGATAGGTGGACCGTTTTTTGGTGTGCTTTTTTTTTTCATTCTTGTTTCTTCTTCCTCCTCTTCTCTCCTTTCATTTTCCTCTTGGCTTCCCCATCTCTGGTGCTGTTGTATTCGACACATCGACGGCTAAAGTTGAAAAATGAGTAGTTCAGTTTGTAACACTGTTCGTCTCTGTTCATGTTTTTGTTTTTAAAGAAAAACTAACGGACAATTCTCATTGAAATTTTCTATGAATTGTCCTCACTCTTTCAAAAAAAAAAAAAAAAAAAAAAAAAAAACGCACAAAATTGCGAGAGAACATTTTGATTAGTTTCTCTTGCATTAAATACGAGAGTCATCCAGAAAGTAGGTTTACTTGTTCAATATCTCCTAAACTAAGATAGGTAGAGAATATCTGTAGAAAGCGTTTAAAAGCCACTACTCTGGACTCCCTAACATGCTACAGATTTTTAAATTTGCCTTGATAGAACTCTGGAAAAGTGGGTTTTTCTGAACCCACCTCCTCTCCGCACGGGTCCAAAATTTCACGGAGCTTCATTTGCAAGTGAGCTGCTGTGTCTATCTCTCATGACCAAAAAGTGGCTTAGAGGTGGTTGAAATACACGTAAACATAAGTAAGGACATTTTCCAGCAAGGAAATAGCAGGATTGACCGTGTTTACTTTGATTATTGGTGGGTTTGGACTGCAGTACATAGAAATATTAAGCTACAACTAAATGCTTGAAAATGTTTAGTCAACTCGTGGAGTTATATCGCTGAATCTGGTTTCGGTGTGAATTGAGCTCTATTATTCATTCTCTTGCCAAGAAAGTAGACCCTAGCTGCACAAAATTCAGGTTTATTTATGGTAAAAGAGTTGTAAAAGCTGCATATTTTTCCAAATCATGCATCTTTGACGAAATTTCTTTGAGAACGGGCAGGATAACTTGAATTCTTATGAAGGATTCAGTTAGCTAGTGAGAATTAACGTAGACAATTTTGTAAACTTTCGCTCACATGCAACTGATTTTGAAGTAAACACGGCTAATCCTGCTACTTCCTCCTTGAAAAATGTCCTTACTCATGTTTTACATGTCTTTCAACCACCTCTAAGCCACTTTTGGCCATGAGAGATAGACACAGCGGCTCACTTGCAAATGAAGCTCCATAAAACTTTGGACCCGTGCGGAGAGGAGGTGGGTTCAGAAAAAACCTTTTTTCTAGAGTTCTATCAAGCCAAATTTAAAAATCTATAGCGCGTTAGAGAGCCCAGAGTACTTGGTGGCTTTTTAACACTTTTTACAGATTTTCTCTACCTATGTTAATTTAGGAGATATTGAACAGGTAAACTTACTTTCTGAACGACCCTCGTATAACCTGATCAGAGATTTTCCAACTTTGCAATCAAGCTACACATTTTCCATACTTAGTCATCAATAAGTTAGGAGTTTTGCAATCTGTTTCTGTCAAACTTGAGTTAAGAAAATAAATTTTCACTGCATCAGGAAAAACGAACTTCCATTAGGGTTACACACTTCTGACAAGCTACTGTTTCAGGATACAATTAATTGAGTTTCATCATGCTTTACTAGTTTTAAGCGATTCAATGCGCAAGTATGATTGCTTCTTCCCATCAATTCTCTACTCGATCTATGGCATACTTCAAGTGAGCCATTTTTGTTGAAATACTTCCGGACAAGAGAACAGTTCAAATGAGCAATTTTCCAAAATCCGAGCTCATTTCAAGCACATCTCATTTAACTTATGGGTAATTAATTATTAATGAAGAAATAGTTTTTACACATGTTCAAAGTTTTATAAGTCGATTAATCGATTACTCGATTACTCGATTTTGAAATTATGAAAAATCGAAAAAGAACTTAGCTGATTTAAGATGTATTAATTTTTGCTTTCACGGCATTGCCATATTTCAACTTGCCACCGGTCGATTAAATTTAATAGATAAACTATTCAAGGGAACATTAAATCGCTTCCTTATCCGGCACCCGAGGGCCGGAGATGCCAGCTTGGTTTATTTTGCCAGGGATCTGCTGGATTGTAATTTCTACTACTCAGGGAGGTTTGTAAAATGAGAAAGAAGAGTGTTGATGAATCAAATACTTTACCTGCGGGCATTAAGAATTTGCACATGAACTTTGATCTTTCGTACTTTCTTTGCTCTTCTGCTTCTTTCCTTTTTTCTTGCAGACTTCGATGGTACTCCTGGAAGAAAAAGAAAGATTAATCTCTACAATAAACACGGAAAACGGACTGCACAAGATGCTAAAAAGACTGAAATTATTGAAAACTATTGAAACTCACTTGCACATAAGATAAATAAAATCGGACCGGTTTTGAAGGCTTCTCTTCATCTTTAGCGAACACTGACTCAAGTCAGAGGAGTCTGTGTTTGCTGAGTAATGAAGGGAAGTCTTCTAAATCGGTTCGATTTTATGTATTGTAAGTGCAAGTGAGTTTTAATAGTTTTTCATAATTTTAGCCAAGCTTAATCTGTGTTTCCCCCAGTCCCCCACCCAGGATCCCTTTACCGGTCAAGAAGTTTGGGGATAATATATTTTTGTGAATTGAATAATCCTCCTTTATGAGCCTTTTTGATAATACAAATACTTATTTTCATAGTAAAATAGAAAGAAAAATACAAGATTGAAATTAAGTGTTACTTTGCTCTTATTGAGATCAGCATTATTTTTAAATCAAAATATGGACCAAAGGAACCTGCACACAATACCAAGAAATTTGGCGCCGGCTAAATTTTTAGATTTTTTGTATGATATTCCTTACAACCTTATGAGCAAGATGAACTTTTAAAATCGAACTTTTGGTGTGCCAATCACGAAAAAGTTGGGTCTAGAAAGTGCATTTTTTGACAATTTAACACAAGTTGTCATGGGGAGAAAAGGTGCCGTCACTGGATCGAAGATGCATAGCCTTTTGTTCTGAAAGGAGTTGACGCACCATTAAATCTTCCAAGCTAGCGCAAGACAAGAAAACGGGAGCTCGCACTTTGATCACCAAACTTTCCTCAATTGATGATGCGTGTATACGACTGCTGAACAATGCTATTTTGCAATTTTGCAAGATTGGCGCACTTTGATAAAACATTCGATTTTAAAGGCTAACCTTCTTTAATGGAATTCTCCCACCCCCCTTAAATTTGCAGGCAAGCTGATTAGGGAATTTTAATCCTACCTCTACTAAAATCACTGCCGTCCCAGTGGAAGGTCCTTCCCGTTTAATTGCGGCTAGCTGACTTTTGTCTTGCTGTGAGACTACTTACATTACAGTTCAATCCTCGATCTGTCAGTCTCTGAGGCAAAAGATAATTTTTTTTGACAGTACTGCCTCTTCCAGCAAAAGAAATGAGATGGTAAAAACACTTCCTCTGAAACTTCACTTTTTACCTGAGTAAATTAAACTGACTGACATTTTGGTAGTAGTCGAGAGAGGGATTTCAAGAAGCAGACATCAGAAAATAAGAACTGACTTCATTCTTCATCAGAAGGATAACGCAGTTTAATTTATATCATCATTTTCTGCTCAGGCATTTGGGTAGTGGTCCAGAGAGTGATTCTAAGAAGCAAACATTAGAAAATAAGAACTGACTTCATTCTTTGTCAGAAGCATAAACCCGTTTTTATAAAATCATTTTATGCTTCATAGAAAACAAATTTACAGCCGAAGCCATTTTATTGGTTTCTGCTTCAAAGAAAAAAAAGAAAAAAAAGAGAGAAGAGGATGACTTACTTTGAGAGCATTCTTGATTCTAAAAAGCCGAGGTTCTCCAACTGGTAACTGACATGCTTGTAACTCGGTCAAAGATGCCAGACACCCAATTGTCATTATGTTTCTACTCTCGAACTTTTCATTTAAAGTGGAATGCCTGGAAAAGAAGACAATGTCCACAATTTCAATGGAAATTCACAATTCGATGAACCACTAGAAAGAGTCAAAAATCAAGCTTTGCGATACACATTGTTTCATCAAAATTACTTACCTATAAAATTGTTCTTTGCGCTGTATACTGTCAATATTGCGGACATCAGCAATATCAAATATTTACACGCCAATAAGTACTTATTTACGTTGTTTTGAACTTTTCCTTGTGCAATTCTCTGGGATTATTTTAGTGATCTGTTATCATCGAATGATGGAGAGGAGGAGTGAAGCCAGTGCAATATTGACAATTTTCACACAAAATACTAATTATTTAGGCTGTTTTGACAATTACACATCAGGGTGGCAAGTCAAGATCCATTTCAAAATTCCCTGACTTTTCCCTGACTTACTGATGGAATTCCCTGACCTTTGGTAATTATCGCAAACCATCGATTCAAACACATTTTATTCACGGAAAACAATATTTGTTTGCTGAATGGTTTCAGTGTTTCGAAAAGGTTTTTTTTGGTAAGTAATTGCAATTGAGCATGAAATACAAATCTTGATCCGTTTCAATAAAAATGAGGCAACCACTTCATAATCTCTGCAAATTAGAGTAAAATAAGTGAATAAAGTAAAAATTCAAAGCTAACTGAGTCTATTCCTGTGAAGCCTTTAAGGCTAAATGATGAGGGAAGAAAAGGGAAATATTGAATCATTCCCCTTTTATCGTTTGAAATAAAGGAGGAATTCAGGTACTCAGGGATCGTGGAAGTAAACTTTGGTCTAAGAAGTAATTAATTTTCTTGAATAGGGAAGATTGCTTTACGTATAGTGGGAAGAAAAATGGGACAGTCATACTGAGTTCGAACGAAATTCATGACATTTATGGAATTAAAAGGAACAAATTGAGTTAAAGGTTCAGATCAAGAAGTTGTATTAATCAGTATGTGCAAAAATACATACTTGAACGAAAATACATGATTAAATTCAGTTCAAATTGAGTAAATTAAACAGAGAAAGACACGGGGGGAGGATGGGCGTGCTGAATCCACAGTAACAAGCGGAATTGGACAGAAACGGCCAATCTTCACACTGTCGCGGAATGATCGCGGCGTAGCGAGGTATGGCTCATCACGGTATTGTTCATGCGCGAAAATTCCCTGACCGGCCACAAAATCCTCTGACTTTTTCTGGTTTTCCCTGACGCTTGCCACCCTGCACATACGGCACGATGGACATATTGAAAATGTCCAATTTTAACTTACGAGCGAGAAATTAATGTTTTCTGTTGGGTTCATTCAAACTTCCCATTCACCAAAGAAAACAAAGTAACACTTATCTCATTAACACTTAACTCAAATTAAACACTCATCTCATTTTTAATTTGCTTTTGAAATTTATTTTGTGCTAATTGCAATTTTTCGCTGATTGAATTTTGCTTTTGTTATTTTAGTGAAAGGTTAAAACCTTGATACCTGAATTTACCTGCTTAGAATGACAAGCTGCACATTTTGAAATTAGGTACTGCTGACATTATAAAAACAACTCCTCTTTGATAGAATGATGAAAAAAAATGTCTTCTATACTAGCTTCTTTCGTAGTTTTTAAGAGGACTTTCAATGTCCTTCAAATCACTGACCTACCACAAGGTACACTCTACTACAGGTATGGACAGATGGAATTTTAGGAGGTCGTCAAAACGCGTAGATTTGACAGCTTCTCATTGTATGACTGCAACGCCATATTGAAAACTTATTTCATTTTGGTTCTAAGAGTGGGTCTTGTCAATTTTGTCTTATTTTTTCGAGTTCTTAGTTAAGTTTTTCGTTATTTTGAGTTTTATCAATTTTTTAAATTCATCTGATAGCTTATTGAAGCTACCAGATCTGCCAATACCTCATTTTGAACTGCACGGCAAAGACGGTACAATTTGCGACGTCAATCGATATTTGTCCATACCTGTAGTAGAGTGTACCTTGGACCTATCACTTACCAATTTGATTGAATTAGGATTGAGTAATAATTGTTCGGTACTGAATTCTTAGACCGCATTCGTTGACTTAACAGCTGAGTGTACTGCATAAAACCGGATAGTAAGTTTCGAAGGTTTTTTTTCTCAAGACTTATGAGCTTTGTTGAGTGATGGACTCTATTAAATACGTGCTTCTTTGTGGAGGAAAATAAAGTGGTAAGTTTCAATAAAATCAAACTTGGAGGAGGAAAACTTCAAAATCCATGCTTACCATTTTGGTTCGACCAGGAGAGGAACTATACCATTAATGGGATCCCTGCATAGTGACAGGTTAGGATAGCACGTTTTTGTGCTACTCACTTCAGGCATTTCAGGTATGGAGCCCTGGGTGCTGATGTCATCTGCAAAACAGTAATTAACTTATCGCCTTAATACAAACAACCATTAGATACATATCATTATGAGATGTAATAAAAGCATTATTCAAAGTGAAAACAAATTATATAATAAAAATCGAATGCATGCAGAACACAACTTCAGTTCTTCTAGCGTTTTTATTCCAAGTACTAGCATGTTTCTTTAGAGTATATTTTTCAAAATGTTAAGTATTAAACTCTTTTGATCTTTCATACAGTTGATTCGGTTTTTATTTTCATTTTTGTTTCTGCTCTCCCACATCTATCCTAATCAAAATTTGTTATTTCGGTCTAAATCGTTGAGGACAGGTATCAAAACCAATTGCTCCTAATCAGATGCGAAATGATATTATCACATTATTGAAAAGCCAATCGATGAAGAGCATTTGAAGAACATCAAAAGAAAGGAACAGAAAAATGTAACAGATTGGGGAGACAAAATGAGAGAGAAGCATAAGCTAAGCAAAAAAATAGGAAAACAACTGACCTTGGGTATTTTCTGTAAGACCAGCTATGTCAAGACCATACACTGTGTCTTTCTGTGGATCACTAGCAGAAAATTCAAGTACTTCTATCATAGGTGGATCCGAGAAACTGACCAGTTTGCCCTGAAAAATAAGAAGCAGAAAATGCAAAAAAATGTCGAACTTCCAATCACTGCATCCAATACTGAACTGAACTTCATTAGGATGAAGCAAGATAAAAAGAGGTAATTTTAATAGCCTTTAGGGGCCATTCAGGTATTATGTAACGCACTCAGGGGGNGGAGGTTCGAGCCACTGATACAAAAAAAAAATATCCATTCACATTTGAAGGAAAGAAGATGATAATATTTTTCTGAAAAAAAAAAAGGAACTTGGAAGAAAATTGTTAAGTTTACAAAAATACTTCAGTGTAACTGGATACTATCTATTTCACAAGTTCAAAAACAGAACTATTGGCAACATAACAAATAATGGTAAAGCTGGATACAATAAGCATGAAGTCTCAGGTATTTAAACAGAAAAAAGTTGATTGTGATGTTTTGGACCTGGCAGCAACAAGAATCGAAAAGCACGTCAACATTATCTTAATTAAAGAGGAGAACTTCTTAGTTTGAAAACCATTATGTAGCCACCAGATGCAATCTCAATTAATGCTATGAATTTGAGGAAAAAATCGATTATACAGGCAAAATACGAAATTTACTTGGGCAAATTGAAATCATATAGATATCGAAGGACTGAATTTTTAACTTTCAAACTGAGCAACTAGTGGAAGTAGTAGTAATGTCCCTCAACTCTCTTAGCAGCTGATATAATTTTGATAAACATGCAATTCTGGAAGGTATAGCACTCGCTGGTATTGCGAAACGCCGATGATAAAATTCATAAATGGTACGTTTAAAATTCAATTTTCAGTTTTATCCGTTTTGTTAACTTTCAGTTTTGGCGTTTTACACCTGATGAAAGTCACTTGGGCAAAAAAGATGGCATGAAGCACACTACTTTGATATTTACAAACCTTGGGACGAGATTCATTTTCATCATTCCGACTTTTCTTCAAGATGCTTGGTGTTGGGGGAGCATCAGAAACATATCGCCTTTTTACCCATTTTTTTCCAACGCTGTTCCTGTAGAGTTAGAAAGCAAGAAAAAATTACTTAAAAACAGGCAATACTTGCATATGAGGAAAAAGAAATTCTCTACTCTTCCTTATTATTTCTTGAATTAATAAATATAATGTGGTAAGATTTTTCTGATCAGTTGAAAAGTATTTTATATATGTGCTAACTGGACTACATTTAAAAATGAAGAACTGCTGTTTCTGGTTCACTTTCAAAATAACATAGGTGTCATTTGTTTCTGTTCGTAGATAGGTGCTTTTATAGATTAGTCAGAAATACAGGTCCCTCATCAAAAACCTAAGAGAATAAAGGAACATTTTTGGAAGAGCAATTTTTGTCTCGTTTGGTTGGAAACGGTAAATTTAGTCTTCAGCACAAAATACCTTGAAATATCACAGAAAACAAGTTGTAGGCAGTTAAATTCATTATTGGTGTCCAGAGAGAACTTTAAGCTGTATTTTATTCCACTATTTTTTAATACAGGGCATGGCAAATAAGACTATATAAATAAATTTTTTCCAAAACTACACTTCACAGACTGAAAATTTTATCGCTACCTATGTTTTACATGTTGGAGCATTTTTCAAGCTAAATTGTTTGGGCAACATTCTTCTCAAATGACTATCTATCGATGAATCAATTCTTAATAATTAATTTTAACTTCCACGGCCCTGTTTCCCATGGACATTCACAATTTGAACGCTCTGAAGTCACATGACAACATGATAAGACACAGTCTCTACAATAAAAAAAAGGGGAAAAAGAAGATTGTATGAGCTGCAATAAACAGAAAAAAACCAAGTCATATTTTGGAAAAAAAGGGGTTAGCAGTGGTTTTCAGCTTAACTAGCCACACTTTTTCTTTCATCAAACAATTAAAATTGGAGAACAAAACGATTAAATGTGAAAGATTTTATCAAACTTTTCTTCTAACATTGACTAATACAATAGAGTAATACAACTTCCAACCCCTTTTTTTCGTTTCCGTCTTAATGTGATTTGGTTCCTTTTGGTTGAACTCGGTCCATTTGGGAAAATACTTACAAATGCTGAGGGGTTCTAGGAGGTGATGGAGTGACTGACATTTCTTTTTGCACCGGTTTACTGGAGGGAGTTTGCACAACTTTGTTGTCGTCTCCGATGGCCATGTTCATCATTAACGCCGTTCGACCGAGGTACTGATTCCTTGGGCTCAAGACTTTGGTGTTATCACTTAACTTATGATTGAAGTTGCTGCTCAGTTTACCAGAATCATCTGATTCCGATTTTTTTAATGGTTCGTAGCTATTTTCATTGTTGACTGCTGAAGATTTTGATTTTTCATTCAAATCAGCCCCAGAGGATTCTCGTTCGTTCAAGATGAGTTTTCGTGCCACTTTCGGCTTTGACCCACTGCCTGGTTCATTTTCAACTACTGATCTCGGACTGCAATAAATACTCGAGTTGAACTGCGTCATGATAGGAGACGATGCACTTACGCTCTTGTTAAACTTGGAGCTGGAGAGAGAAACATCAGGTTGGGAGCTTTCGATAATATCTGAATTTTGAGAGAATTCAGCGGATTTTGCACTATTCTCCGACTGCTTGGACGTCCTTGTGATCCAACTATCTAAACTCACGAAAGATTTTTCTTTGGAGGCAGAACTGAGCCCATTATGTTGTTTCAATGGCGAGAACCCGTTGTTCAGCGCGCTTTTCAGTAACATGGAATTTTTTATCTTAAACCGTGAGCCACTATTCTGAGTTCTCTTTTGATTGATGTCCTCTTCACTTTCTTCTCCTGTTCTATTGTTTTCGTTTTCATTTTCACTCGCCGTTTTGAACTCATCAGAGGTATTGTTCAAATTGACAGAATCAAATATTTCTGGAGAGCTTTCCATTACTGAGATATCCCCATTGGATTTTGGTGTTTTGATAAGCATCAGGGTAAAATCTCGGGATTCATCCAAGTTGACTGCTGAATTATTCAAAGTATCCATTTCTACTGATTCAGATCCACATTTATTTGGTGTGCGGCCTGTTTCATTGTTCAACTCCTCCTTATTATTTACACATTTATTTGTTTCGGAATTTTCATTATTGCTTCTTGTACTAGAGTCTTGCTTGTTATCAACTTGATGCTTCTGCATCTTTATATTGCTTTCTTCCAAACATACTGTGGCTGCTTCTGAAAAATCTAATTTTTCCCTTGATTTTATTTTAGAATAGACATTCTCGGACTCATCAACATCCATTGGCTCTGATACTTCTGGTTGTGCTTTTTTCCTTAATAATTTAGCAGCTTTCTCAATATTTTCAGCATCATCAGGTCTATCTTTCGCTTTTTTCCCGCTTTCTTCTCCGAGCGCAGATAATTTATTCTTATCAGAGGCATTAAATGTTTTCGCAGGAACACTAAGACCATCATTGGAAACTTGTGCTTTCATGTTCAATGATCGCCTGGGTTTCGTTCTTACAGGGGAAGATTGGGTGATTGGTAAACCTAGAGATTTCCTGCTTCGTAATAATTTTGGAGATACTTTGGTGGGAGTTCTTGAAACCTCTTTTTTAGATGGCGAAAATCTTTTCGGAGGATTAATCTTACGTCTTGCTCTAAAAGCAGGTGACAGGACATAATCACAATGAAGATTTCTAGGTGAATCAAAGATTGATTCATCACTTTTATCAGGACTTCTAGATTCTGTAATTTTTGTTGGAGCACCGTTGGCAAGTGGTTCAGAGTCACTTTTCGGTTTTCGTTGTGTTGCATCGCTGCCTTTCAAACTGCTGTTGTCACTGACATTGGTAGTGGTATTGTCACTGGCTGTTGTATCAGAAAAAACACTTTCAGCAATGCAGTTTATAGAGGCTTGAATTCCTTTGGATTTGCTTTCATTCTCAGTTTCATTTGCGATCGAGGATTCTGACTCACTCTTCACCGCTGCATCAAGAGTATTAAATAAATTTTTCAGATCATCAGTTGAAAATTCTTTGTAAATAAGCTGAAGCTCCGCTTCGTTTTCGCCGGTTTGTCCAGTTATTTCTTTTAATTTATGGAATAAATAAAGAGCGGGATGAGGCTCATTGATTAAAATGTTGAAAAACTTTCCTAAATTATTACCGTCATTTTTTTCGTTTTCATTTCTTAATAAAGAGAGAATTTTGGAGCAAATCTTTTCTTTAACGGCATCTAAATTATCAGAACTAGCATGAAAAGTTGAGGATTCTTTATTCGTAGTTTGTGATCCCTGGGTACATGTTTCTAAGCTATCTGCAGGTTTTTCTCCGATATCAAGTTCACTTTTGGCTGTCTTTTGAGTATTAGGTGACCATGGAAGGACATTAGTGTCCCCATTTTCACCACTTATTTTTGGTTCTTGTTTGATAACCGTTAAATTCGCTACCCGGTCAAATATTGAATCATCCTTTGTTTCAAATTCGTCTAAAAGTTCATCAATGGCGTCTTCTTTTGTCGAGTCCAGTGTTCTTTTAACGGGTTTTTCTCCACCAACAGATAAAATTACACTGAAACAAGGAAAGAGTAATTACTTTAAAAAACACATGCAACTGAAAAAGATTAAAACTTCAGATTCTCATGACTTGAAATAATTATAAGGCGTTACCTCTAACTGAACTGTGCCTTCTCAGATTGTTCATGATGAGAATAAAATAGAAGTATTCTGCTGTATAAAGTGTTTAACATTGGTATAATTTTTAAAGGACCAAAGCTACAGCTGAAACAAAAGCAAAGTACCAAAGCACAAACTCTGAATCTAGTTCCATCCTCTATCCAGGCTATAATTTTTCAGAATCTGATCCAATTGCAAAGAAAAGAAAATACATAAAAACCCCATTTCCCCTTTGTAGAATCTCATACGCACATGAGCATTTCGACTGATGACTAGTGTCAGATACACAGTCTCCCGAAAATAGAAAAATAACACCTTTCAAACATTTTTGACTTGAGTCACAAAACTACTAACCCTGGTCAAACAGACTCAAATTTTAGAACTCCTAACACATGTAAAATAAGGACGCATTAGAAATCAAAGAAAGAGAAGCAAAGGGGAAAAATGAAGAGAGAGAAGGACAGAGGGAACGAGAAGATGAAGGATATAACAGCGAGGAAGAAAAGGAAGAGAAAGAGGAGAATAAAGAAAGGAAAGCAGAGAAGGAAAAGTACAAAAACTAATACCTCAATTACCTGACCACCGATTATCTGACGCTTCGGTTGACCAACAGAGTCAAAATTGAGTTTCCGGTCATGAGTAAGGTGGCCGACAAGATGAGAACTGGTTTTTGGAGCAAAAATTGAATGAATAAGTGGCTTTTCTCCAATTAAATGACTATTTCTTACAAATACGATAGAAAATTGGCACAGCTTATGCTTTTTGCACACAGAGAGAGTCAGAAGTGAAATTTTATCCGTATTTTTCTGGTGGTTTTAATTATTTGACTTTTCCAATATCCACCGCTGCCCTTGCCACAAATTGTTGAATAATCCGGGTATTAATGCAATGATTAGAGCAAGAAATAGGCGGTAAGTAGAGAAGGAAGAAGTATAGGACACAGAGGAAGCAAAATAAAATAACTGGAGAAAGAAGAGGCAGGAAAATAAAAAGAACAAGAAGAGGAAGGAAAAGAAGAGTAAAAAAAAAATAATTTATTTTCTTCTTTCTCTTGTTCCTCTCTCTTTCTTTTTCCAACTCTTATTATTTTATTCTTTTGTCCTTCTTCCTCTTTCACTAACTGAGGCATGCTCAACCGACCTATAATAGGTGTCCTAAGCCACTTCAAATTAGTCTCTTTTCAAAACTCTCAACGTAGGTGTAACGATTATACTTTGATCTATGCAATCATAGCAAGTCTCGGATTAACTTTGAGTTTAAAAAATAGGAAAAATTTGATATTCCACTTACTCTAAAGCCTGAGAATCCTGCGATTGAGTATCCTGGGAAAATCCATTAATCATTGCCGGCAGAACCCTTCTCGATTTCATCATTTCCTTTTGATGTTTAGTTAGAGGTGTTACCTTAGTTTTAGGTGCAATGTAAACATATTCATCATCTTCTTGATTCTGAAAAGAGCAACTCGAGATTACAACAATCCAGGGTGTGAAAAAAAATTATACCATGGAATTATCTGGGGATAAAATTAGATTAAATGCCCTTAAAGGTGTCTTTACTAGATCCAGGATGATTATACTACAAGGTTTGGGAGTTCATACTTCTCTCAATGAATATAGTAACAGCACTGTTGTCCTCTTCTCTCCTTCTGTTCGGCATATTTTTCTATTTACGGACTCATTTACTATGGTATCAACCATTACGATGTCAGAATAAAGTTTTATATGGCATGTAAAACTGAAACTCTTTTCAACAATTATGAAAGAGAAATGACACTTGAATTCCACTTTATAACATAGGATTTTTAAATCCACAGAGATTACCTGAGATATCCACAGAGAGTTGATGCCTGATTTGGGTGAATGGCTCAATGTATTTTTTGGCGAACATTGAGGCACATCTTGACTGCGCTATTTCAGTATTTTTACAAACAGAGTATTTTTACAGTATTTTTTCATGAGAGAACTGTCGCACAAATTAGTCTGAAAATTTCTGAGTCTTTTCTTACAATGGTAAAAAAAAATCACTAGGAATTTCAGAAAAATTCATCGGATGATTCTCCTAAGAACAACTAGAATGTAAGTAAGAAATACTGGAACAGCGTAATTGAAGTACCTTCTTTTGCACAGGAGAAGATAAGAGCAGCTGACTTTTTGCAGTTGATGAGGAAACTGAAATTATCATGAAAATAATACACACCTTTTTTGATTTCTCCGGTGTCAGGAACTTCTTGAGATCTTCCTGAGAATTCTGCTTTTGCCGCATAGCTTTGTCCAATCTGTACAAAACAAAAAGAAGTTAAAAGCATTCCAAGTTGTACTGTTTTCCCTATTCTTGGAAATGCAAAGGGTTTGCGGAAAAGAAGTAGTAGAGGAGTGCTCCAAAAGGGGCTGAATTTTGTATAAATAAGGATTTAGCAGTTGATTTTGTGAAATCAGAGGAAATATGAAAGAGACGTCAATGAGAAAAAAAGAAGAAAAAGCTTGCTTAGAATAGTTTGGAAAGTATGTAAATTTACAGAAAAAAAATTGGGAGAAACAGACTTTCAAATTGCATAAAATACATGATATTCAAGGGATTCAAAGGGGATTTTAGGGGAATGTAAAGGTCAGAAGAGAGCAAATATGTTGATTAAAAAATGAGAGAAATCTTCATCTTCTCAAATCTGGAGCTAACAGTGATGAGTACTTACCGATGCATGAAACTGGTACTATTGATAACTGATTTAGGAGTTGATGGTACTTCTTTAGCAGCAGGTTTAGTTCCTGTTTGCACAATATTACTCCTAATTTGCCTGGATATTTTTGCAATCTGCAGAAAGAGAGGTACATGCATATTTCAATAGAGCAATTGTGGGCAATTCAACATTTGCCTCGAGTCAAAATTAGGTGAATTATACAACTCGGTATTTACCGTTCCCATTTGAAGTTGAACTATCAAAGATTTTGCTTGTGTAGCCAAACCTTCCTTTAAAGAGCCGTATGCAAAAACGACATTTTTCGCCCCCCCACTAAAACTTATTCAAACTTCGTCTATCAGTTACTAATACTGGAGCGCTTCTTTCCCCAAATTTTCAGACCCCCAAAAAATTTTGGGGGGGCGCTAGGGGGGGTGGAAGTCAAAACCTGCGACACTCGATATCTTCCGAACGAAACAAGATATTGAGGCCCGGTTTGGACGAAAAATCGTCTAAAATTGCATACTTTGAGATTCTAAAGGTTAAAATCCCAAAATTAAATTTTTAACTTAACTTATGTGCTTTTTTCAGTTTTTGAGGAAAAACAATTTCTTTTAAACAGATTAAACTGAAATTTCACATTTTTTGATTTGAACCAAAACCAGTTTTTTAAATTGTTCGTCTTTTTCCGCATCCAACGAGTGGTCGTATAAGCTGGGGAACCGAACGGTTCCGGAGTTATGATCGATTGAAGTTTCCGCTCAACGCGCGCCGACCGATTTTTGCGCGCAAAAAAGTCGGATTTGACTGTTATCAAATCAGATTTAATGTTCAAACTGAGCAAAATGCATTATTAGGGACTCTTGAGGGTTGCTGAGTCCAGAAATTACAGATACTTCCAAAAAATTCACGTTTTTAAAATTACAGCTTCGTACAGGACCACTGAGCGGCCGGTCGGCGCTCAGTGGGCCTCTAAAATAGCGCTACGGAGCTGTAATTTTAAAAACGTGAATTTTTTGGAAGTATCTGTAATTTCTGGACTCAGCGACCCTCAAAAGTCCCTAATAATGCATTTTGCTCAGTTTGAACATTAAATCTGATTTGATAACAGTCAAATCCGACTTTTTTGCGCGCAAAAATCGGTCGGCGCGCGTTGAGCGGAAACTTCAATCGATCATAACTCCGGAACCGTTCGGTTCCCCAGCTTATACGACCACTCGTTGGATGCGGAAAAAGACGAAAAATTTAAAAAACTGGTTTTGGTTCAAATCAAAAAATGTGAAATTTCAGTTTAATCTGTTTAAAAGAAATTGTTTTTCCTCAAAAACTGAAAAAAGCACATAAGTTAAGTTAAAAATTTAATTTTGGGATTTTGACCTTTAGAATCTTAAAGTATGCAATTTTAGACGATTTTTCATCCAAACCGGGCCTCAATATCTTGTTTCGTTCGGAAGATATCGAGTGTCGCAGGTTTTGACTTCCACCCCCCCTAGCGCCCCCCCAAAATTTTTTGGGGGTCTGAAAATTTGGGGAAAGAAGCGCTCTAGTATTAGTAACTGATAGACGAAGTTTGAATAAGTTTTAGTGGGGGGGCGAAAAATGTCGTTTTTGCATACGGCTCTTTCACGACACCAATGAGAAAATCTTGACACTCTGCCAGTAATGTGGATGGAATTATTTGTGGTTATGGTTGCGATTTGGCAACCGCCACCTACAAAGGAGCTGCTTTCATCGCTCACCCAATCACACAAGTGGAGTACGGATGAATAATCTCTAGGACTATTATCTCCCTGTCACCCTATAGTCACACTGACTCATCGCATTGCTGCCAGCATCCACAATACAAATTACACAGGACCTCTCAGCCATGATGCACTGAACCGAGAGAAAACAGGCATGTGCCAAAGAGTATGTAATTGGACTCTTTGGTCAACAAAACTCTGAGATATCTAGGGTTTTAATGCATTTAACGTTATGCTTTTAGGGAAAAATTGCAGTTTTCAATTGACAAAGACTTCATTCAGAGCGAACATACCGTTCTGTGACTTTGTTAAAACTGGGTTTTTTATTTCTAAAGGATGCTTTAGGGAATAGGCAAGAATTCGAAATTAAGGAGTTCTTCAGATAAAGGCGTATGAGGCTATATCCTGATAGGATTGTGCAACGTAGTCCTTTAATTACACATTACCTATCCAAAAACTCTGCCATGAATTTTTCCCTGAATCTGCTCCAAATTTTTTCTTGCGATTGTGTGGCAGTAATTTGACTGAGGATAAAGTTTGATTGCTGTGAATGTTATGAAACATTGTACAATATTAGCAGCACTGCAAGTCTCATACGCCCTTTTACCGAAGAAGCCCTCAATTACTTTATTAAACTCTGCTATAATTTCATTATAGCAAGGGCTGACAGATAGGTGGGAAAACCGCAAAAATTCCCAGCGGGCCACCTGGGAAAATTCCCAGCACCAACCAATTTTTCAGGTAATTTTGGACCTATTTCTCTCCTAAATCAGTTTATCTCTCTGCAAATAACAACTTAAAGAAGGAGCAGATTTAAGCACTGATGGGCTAATCTCCATCCGCCTCTGCATTAGAGATGGGCTTGACTGTAATATAATTATTGTCACATACCTTATTTTTCAGTTTTAAACTAGTGTTATCGGTGCCGATGACAGATGTGGCTAAAATAGTTTCAACCATGGACATTAAATCGGTGTTTAACTCTACGTGCAGGTTGCTCCAAAGAGAGATCTTGGGCAAGGCTTCATTCAATAGAATACTGTGTCGATTTTGAACCGATTCAATTTGCTCGATTAATTTTATGATGCACGTCATTAGCGGGACTGCTTGCTTCACGCTTCCTGTAAACAGTGAAATCAATAAGTCAGACATTTTAAACATCTCATAGGAGAATGTACACTTTTGCATCCTTCACACTCAGCAATAAGAAAAATGTACGCAGGTTGGTTGCTGCGTATCTTTCTTACAAAATATGTAAATCGGGTAAAAATAGAGTTGATAACTTGAGATAGGCATGAAAACTTGAACTTAGTGTAATTGTGCTGATGGATTTTGAAGATAAAGAAATTGATTCCCTATTGAAGAAAATGCATGACTATTGGGGTTTTTTGGCTTTCTTCCTTCAGCTCCTTACAAAGGATGATTTGAATATAGAATTTTCTTCCCTTGTTTGTCTCAATGTCCAAAATAAATTTCAATGAGTTAAAAACCCGATTTTAGAGGCTTGATGTTAAATTTTGATGGATTAGGCACATGTAAACAGCTGTAGAAATTGTTGTAAAATCTGAGTGCAATGGTATCACCGATGAAATTTTATTAAAATACTTCAAGGTTACTTTTTGAAAGTGTTTCTTCAAAACTGTGACTTAATTTTTTAAGACACCATTGAAAACAATTAGGATGCAAGTCAATTATAAAAAGAGAACAGAGCAAAATAACGCTAGAATTTACCTTTTAGAAGGATTGATGATAAAAGAATGCCACAAATTTCTAGCATGACTAGTACGACAGATGTCAAGCTTTTAGGGTGCTTCTCAACTGTGACGATTAAGTTGTCAATGAGCTGTTTCCCGAATTCAGTTGTATTTGTTGAAGCCGGTAATATTGAGATCGAATCGTTACAAATTAATCGCCACTGCTTCATCATCCGAGAGCACCACTGAAATAAAATTGTACATTTTTTTAGTTCATTTTCAAAATAATATTTAACTTTTTTTTTTGGGACACTTACTTATAAGAAGAAAAACAAAATTGCTAAAAAAGAATATTAGCATTGTTTTTTTCCCAATGCTTAGGTATTAAAGTTTATACCTACCTGAAGATATCTTACTCCCCCCCCCTCCTCTAAAAAATGTTTTTCTTCAATTATTGATATATCTTTCATTTGCCCATCATCCTGAACTTTGAAAGTATAATGTACTCTAGAGAACAAAAATGCGATGTAAAAGGAAGATTAAACTGATACGCTTAGGTACAAATGGAAAATTCTGACCCTCCTTCATAGGCTGAGCTGTGGGGTCCGGACAACCTATCCTGCGTTTAACATAAAAAAACATTTGAAGGTGTAAAACTCCATTGATTGAAACAGACATGGTGAGTAGAAAAGGATTCAGTAAGATACGTGAGATAAGTTTTCGGATATGGATTGAAAAAATAGCAATATTACCTTATCATAAAGACATTCAACAGGAAACAGCAGTAATTGAGACAATGCATCAGAGGATAGACTCGTGGAATCATGTTCATGTTCAACAGCAAAATGGATTGTGTCACAGATGACAGACCATAATTCGCTTAGATTTGACAAACAAATATCCCGTTTAGAAGGATCGTCCCTGATTTCAAAACACAGATATACAGATTAAGAAGTCATCAATAAAAACTAAAACTAAAAGAATACAAGAGCTGCAATTTAAAAAAAGGCAGCTTGCAACTTTTACTATCAGCAACAGAGACATGGCTGTCTCTGATAGGCTGGAAGTTTCCACTTATTTTGATAAATCTGTTGTAATAAAGAGTTTCTAACTCTAGTAAAAAATAAAATAGGTTATGACTTATTTAGTATGGAAACTTTAGAATCCAATTTTCAGATTTTGTCAAAAAAGAGGATAATAAATGCCATTTTGGTTCCATCTAAAATGAGAAATTATTTTTGGGAACCTCTTCAGGATCACCAGCCTTCTAAAAAGTACGAAAGACTTTGCAGACAATACCAAAAAATTCAGTGCTCGCTAAAGTCTGACATTATTTATACTTTTGTTTAAAATATGTATTCTTTGGGCACAATGAGTTTTAAAAATTCAACTTGCTATGTACTGATTTTGAGGAAAGCCAGAAAAAATGAAAAATGAGATTTCCAGTATTTTAACACGCAACATCTAGTTTACGATCGAGGAGAGGTTTTTGCTTTCTTGCTAACAAGGAAAATAAGACAGACAGATAAAATCAAATTCCTCTAGATAACAGCATGCCGCGTAGCATGTTCACACATACTTTGCAACAGTCCCTAATCTCCAATGGAAAAAAACAAGTAAAAAAGCGGAAAAATTCAGTTAACGGCCCTCTTTTCCTGAACATGGCCACCTGGAAAGTTCAATTTTAAAGGCTCATTGTGCTCAAAGGGTCGTGAGGAGCATCGTATCAAATGATATACAAATTTAGCATGTGCTGAATTCCTTGGCTTTGTGTGTATGCTCCTCTTGACTAGGATTATCTTGTTTTGATTCGCAGCTTTCATTCGATATTTTTCCAAAAGAAAATTTTCTTCTTATTATTCTTATTATTATTTCTAATTATTTATTTCTTTTCACTTCAAAGAAAAAGGAAAGTTCAAGGAAGAAAACTTACCGCTGTAAGTTTAATGGAACGTAAAACAGTTGTCCAATCATGGCTTCTAATTCTGACATATTGTTTTCATACCCTTTGATTATTAACTCCAAATAATGAGTATCTCTGCAATTATAGAAAAAAAATGTTAATACAATAATTAACAAACATTTTTGGGAAAAAATTTATTGAACTACAGCTTCATGCACAGCAATTTTATGAAAGGGAAAAACGTAGTCTAAGGCCTTGTCCACACGAGCGCAGTTCGCGGAACTTATTCCTCGAACTTGCTCAGTGCCCGGAACTTATTCCTTGAAACGAGGCATGCTGTCCACACGGGTTCGTCCGAACTGGAACCGGAACTTCAATAAAACTATACAATTATTGCAAAATAATGGATTATTATGACCGCCAAAGTAACAAAAATAAATGTCAAGATCATATGTAAAGGACGTGAAAAACAAAAACGAGCAAATTCACATCAAAAGAAACATATTTAGAAACTCGGAGCACGGGGGAAATTCCAGGTTTTGGAGGAATAAGTTTCAGCTCAGCAAAAAACTTGTTCCGGGAACAAGTTCCTCGAACTGAGTTCCGCGAACCGCGTTCGTGTGGACAAGGCCTTAAAAGAAAGTTTACAGGAATTAATCAAGTTTGAGAATAAAGCGTATAAATATCATAAATCAGAATAAAAATTCTAACTAATTGTCAAAATAAAAGAGGAATTGAGATATAGGGAAACAACTTTGATCGATTGTTTGTTCTTTTAGCAATAATTTGTATCAACAAAAACCTTTTTTTAAAGATCTACAAGAAATTCATTTTTCTGACTTTTCCTTGACTCTATTCTTAAAGAAAAGATAGAAAAAAATTGCTTGACTCCTGTTGGAAAGGTAAACCTTGCGCTGCTGCATTCATACAAGACTACAGACTTATTGTTACAGTGAATCTTGCAAATTGTGATACTTAAGTGCAGTCTCCTCTACAAATGGAAAAATTCCCTCAATTTTCCATGGCTTTTCGTATTTTTTAAATTATCTAACTTTTCTAGGTTTTCCCTGACGTTTGCCACCCTGATTATGTCAGGGATTGCAAAAATGATGTAACCAAAAAATCAGCACACAGCCAGTGGGACTGACAGAATGTTAAAGAGTAATAGAGCTAAAATTTTACTAGAAGTTATTGATGCGGCTAAGTAGCGTTGGATACGTACTCTTGAGATTTGATAGACAAGAAATTATCGCTCAGGATCCACAGATGAAGATGCTTGAAAACGGTGTCTGGATGTTCGACCATGAAAGTGTCTATCAGCTTCATGAATACCTGAATATTTTCTTCATTCAGATTGTCCCTGCAGATGGAAATACTCTCAACCGCATTGTCCAGCAACGCCAAGGTTTGCATCTGCTTCACTTTCACTGTAACATAAAAGATCACAGGACACGAATGAAAATTAGAAGCAATTTGAATGGGAAAACAAAAGGCTGAGCTTTTAGTAGGATATTTTTCCTTTACTGCTCCCCTGATAGCAGACCTATGCCTCAGACCTTTGAGACAGCATTGATCCGGAAGTGTTTGATGTCTGGAATTTCGTTTCAAAATCGTAAATTGGCGCTCTCTTAACTCATTGAGTCATACAACTTAAAGAAAATGTATTAACATCAAAAGCTACACTCGGAAGGAAACTTTATAAGTATTTTTAGCAAACTAGACAAATATACCTACATGTTAATTATTTTGATAGAAAATTGAGTGAACCACTGTTGTTCTCCCAGTGATCAACTGGAGATAACTTTCCTATCACTCTACCGTTTGATTAATGTAAAAATCTCGAAAAAATCTTCATATATATCGAACGCAAGTGGTGTTTTACCATGTTTAAGTGGGGATTTTTATGGCTATTGAGCGATATTTTGTATGTGTGAGTGCATTTCCATAAGATCCCTCAGCACACGCTTTAGTATTAGTGTGTATTTTACACGGATTTTTTGAGACTATCGATAGTCGCTGTTCAATATATCGATACGTCCATTCAATTCTAAACTTACCAACCCTTTCCTACAAAATCCCCTATTCTGTCCAAGTTTCCTTAAATCTGCCTTCTTTAACTCCGTTTCTAAGTAAACTGTATTAATTATCTAAAGTTCTTTATATCTTAAAGCTTCAATTTCTATTTTGAATTTCCTAACTTGTTCACAATTTTCCTTATAAAACAAAATCTACTTATGTACTTTTTCCCCCCCTGCTTGTTTTATTTGTGCGTTAGCTTTGATACAATGGCGGATTGTTTACGTTCAATTTTAAAGTTGAACATTTTCCAATTCTTTCCTTTAAATCTCTTCGAAAAAGTCCCAAAGTGACTTATCACTCTCTAAATCAGTAATTCACCTCTTCAACTTAACATTCGTGGTACTTTTGATGGTTCCACCTCTTGCAGTGAGAGAAACTGAATCGCCGAGTTTCTGAGCTTGCTTCTTGGTTTGTCCATGTCCTTCGGTTTGATTTGTGCATCTTCCTAAATGGATAATCTTACTTTTCAAAATAGTCTTTGACAGTGCTAGAGTGAAATTTTGTCTTGACAGCATTAGCACCATGTTAATTAAAATTTCAATCTATTAACCTCCATTTTTGCGCAGGGTGAGCAGGGGTGCAAATTGCACGGAGGCTGAGATGTACTTGTTATTTTTCTAGATTTTTCAGATTTGCAATTCTTGTGGAATACTTACTGTGACTTCCGTACACGTTCTAAAATTAACAAGAAATTCCACAAAATTTTGATCAGCGCGTTGTGCTGACCTTCTTGCGAGAACCTAGCGCGAAGCTGAAAACTGCAGAGGCATAAAACAATTTTCACTTTGGTTTGTGAGATTTTCTTATAAACTTGGCATCCACATATTTGTCCGACTTTTACCAAAATTATCTCTTCCATCACCATAATAGCAAAAACATTAGCATAAACATTCTTGATAAGAGGTGGCATAGTATCACTGAGAACCCTGAGAGTTTTGTATTAAGTACTAATGATGCTCCTCTGGAAGAATTAAAAATAGGCCATTCTAAACTAAATATATCAACAGCTCTTGCTGACGATAACCTGCTACCTTCATCAACTTAATCTAAAGTTTAGAAAAATAGATAAGCCAACTAATGTACTATCATTTCCATGCGAAGTCAACCTTGTATTAATTGTGTTGTATTGAATGATAAATACAGTTTTTACTATGCCTTAGAATTCTTACCATTTGGAGTCGGGAAATAAAAAAAAAATTGCTTCATTGTTTGCATTTTTATTGGCCAACTAAGTTCACAGTGGAACTTTCATCTACTTGGTGGTAATGAAGGTAATTATTTATTCTTCTCTTATTTGGATGAGAATTACCTACATCAAATATGTATGACATACTGTGACACTGGGTGCCGCTTAGGTACTCTACTGATATTGCAACTGTACTGGAAAAATTCCTAACTCAATTAGAGGGAACAGGACCTCATCAGGGTGTTATCTTGCAAAGTTATAGGTAAGAATTAGTTATATTTCGATCCTTTGAGATTCTTTCATCATTCAGATATAAAAAACTAAATTCAGCTTGAACAGGCACAGTTCTAGGAAGGAGTGTGACGGATAATTTATGTTTCATCTTACTTATCACACAATGCTTCGCATCCTCATCTTGCTGAGAACAGGCGAAGATTTGAAACGCGCACTACGCCGGCTACATGCTACAGATTTGGTAGTCGCCTGACAAAACTGGTACCCGCTACCCGCTAGAGTCCCTTTATGTACCCGCCTGACGTCACAAAACTTCAAGATGTGGCAACAAAAATCAAACTGGGACAATAATTAAAGAAAAGGACTGTGGTGGTCACAATGGAATACCTAAATGATCATTCAAATTTTCGAACCCTTATAATTTAAAGAAATAAAATTAAAGTACGTATTCGGAGACTTTACACTTTACTGGGAGAACATCATCCAATGCCATGAGCATTGGAAACGTCATTTGTGAACTAATAATTCTTAAACGACCGACTTGTTTGAATCTTCCTGAGAAATTTAGAGGCCAATTTTGCCAACTTCATCAGTATTTAGGTTTTTTAAGGGGCCAAAATGGTTTTTCCTGACATAGTTTAGTAGGAGAAGCAGATGTCTTTTGGTACCTTAAAATTGGGCTCTTTCTAACCTTTTACATATTTTCATAGCTTTCCTTTACCTAATTGTACCTTTTAGAAGAGGTACCTAACAGATTTGAGTATCAATCAAAAAAGTTTATCCAGGTTACAGTGTTGCTGATCCGTTACAGAGGAAGAAAAAGATTAGTCAAAGAATAGGATAAAAATGCTCTGGAACCTTCACATCGACTTAAATTGTCAAAGGCGCAACACCAAAAAACTGACCAAATCCCAAAGCAAACTAACAGACCTTGAATGTTTCCAGATGATCCGATTTAATTAAATAACACTGGCATAGTTACAACGTAAAGCTTACCAAGAAACGTTTTCCACAGACGAAGTATCAGCTCTTCATTAATTTTCTTACTCTTGAAAACAGATGAAAAAACTTTTGGAAGATATGATGAAATTTTCCCATCCATATACTTGAATACACTTGTATTATTCAGGACTAAGAGATAGCTTTCTACACTTCGGTCCACAAGCTCTGGAAACGATGATGCAAATGGCATTTTCAGAGGCCCATACAAGAAGCTCAAAAAAGGGTTTATTATCACATCCACAGCTTGTTTACTCTTGTCGAGGACGAGTGCAATTAATGTATTCCAAACCTAAAAACGAGTAAACAATTTTATTAGTTTCATAAAACACTATATGGTCATGAGTGGCATTATGATCCTGACTGCAAACAAATATTTTTGAAGTTTCAAGCTTTTTACACCTGAAGTCTCTTAGGTTGGGTCCACTTTTTTCTGTCTTTCAGTTCCAAAATCTGGCTTCTTCATAGAGCCACAAGCTTCTAAATAATAGGACAAAAATCTTGAATTCATGAAGTGTGATAACCCAGAGGAAGAGAAGGAATGGATAGACAAAAAAAAAGAAGGGATGAAAGTCGATTGGCTATGGTACAGGTCATGAATGGATTTCAATAGTAAAAAAAAAAAAAAAAAAAACAGATTAATTCTGTTAACAACTAACTAACAATAAGACATCTTGGAATTACACAAATTTACAAAACGTACTACAGATCATTGATCAGTTAAGTTTTCATTAAAGTTCAGGGGGCATTTCAAAATTCATCTAGGTTATAGAAAGCCTCCTGGAGGAGTTGTTCTAGACCCCATAGAAATGATGCAAAGTCTGCATCCTTGAGCAAAAGCCTCTAATTTAAGGATAAAGCATTGAAAAACTGAATTGATGTGAATTTGATGATAGACTCTTGAGACTTGAGGGGTAGGGGTGTTCAAACGAATTCTTGCTGGAACACTATCGATATCGTTCTTAATTGAAACTAGCGGCAGTACCGACAGTGGCAATGATATCGACAACAGCCGGCCTTAACAGATTTTTGAGAGCTCGCACTCAATGCATTGTTGCCCCGTGTGTCGGTTTATCAGATTGCCTGGCGTGGCGGCGCGTAAAATAGATGTACACATGGCAACAGCTTATTTTCGCCAGCTCTGAAGACTCTGATCGCTATCAGCAAGAGCGCTCTTAGCGTAACTTTTTCTTGACAGAACTGTTTAGGTAGCTTACCGACTACCGATAAAACAGCCCTATTAAGGGGAAGTTTTAAAGTTTTTTATGTTATAATGTCTAGAGTTATATTTATGCTTAAGAATCAAATCAGTTGGTGTAATCAGTGGCGTGGCGTGAATTTCGATATATCGATTGTTGTGTCATTTGAACCTATGAAAAAAGATCGATTATCAGGGTGTTCGCAGCGAACACCTTAGTAATCGATTCTTTACCATAGCTTCAAATGTCGAGATATCGATAATCGATTATTCACGCCACGCCACTGGGTGTAATAGAGAATTTGCAGGTGTCTTAAATTTTGGGAATCTCATCTTTAAAATGATACTGCAAGGAAAATTGAGTACGAGGATATCCGTGGTTTCTAAATTGGACAATTTTTTCGAAAAAAGGCCCAAACCAGTATAGATCTCTAGGCGTGCCTTCAACTTAATATTCCAATGTAAACTGCCTGAGCTGAACACTCTCCCCCTTCAGTTTCATACTGGTACGCATTAGAGTCTAAAACAAGACCAATCCACACAGGTCAGTCATTCCCGAGGACAAGTTTTGGTACTTTACTGCGCAGTGACGTAGTATTGAGTGCCTGCAATGTATTTCTTATGGGAGCACCTATTGTGACGTAGCATTAAGTGCGGCGAGTTAGGGCCGGGCGGGGGAGTGGATTTCAAAAAAGCTGCGCAATGACTGACCTGTGTGGATTGGTCTTGGTTCAAAAAATTTAATTTTGACTCTAATTTTAATTTTTGGAATTTCTTGGTTTTGTTTTCCCTACGAAATAGTGTGGACTCAGCACCATTTCTCCACCTTGTTACATATAGTACGGGCCACTTCTTAGTTTTTTTTTCAACCTAATCTGCTAAAATACATGTGTTTAAATGGAAAAAGCCACTACTTAGATGAAGTCATAAGGCGGCACATTTTCTCACTTTTAAATCTATTTTTCTCCAATTTCCCATGTCATAAAAAAATTATGAAAAATACTGCAAACTCAGCTCATTAAGCACTCTCAGATGAAGAAATACAATTTTTGTGTGCAAATTCCTATTAAAGTATTATCAATACTATTAGTTATGTAAGAATTTCTGTTTTTTTTCTTCTTCTCTTTCTTTTTTTGATTCATTTGAATTTATAACACTTGAGGCGCTGGATGTGAGTTGGGCACATCTTGGTGAGCTATCTCGTTAATTTTAGAATCCCTGTTCTAATTTAGATCTTAGAGCAGAGACTATACATTGGTTATTTTATCATGGGAACTTTTTACAATCATAAAGGATGTTCAGGGAAAATTGCAATGAAATGTATGCATTCACATTCCTCACAATGAATGAAATATTAGTGGAGACGGAAACACCGCAATCGAAACGAGCTGTTCTTGCGCCTCAATTAAATTATGCTTTATTTGATTTTTGGAGTATTTTTGTTTCCAATTTTTACAATTTTGTTTTATTTTTCCTATACTTGAAACAAAAGAAGATAAAATCAAAGAAGAAATGAACTGTTGGCCATAGCTCATTACGCTTATAATTCAAAGCGAACGGTTGGACTATTGCTGAAATGCAGAGGGGACAAAAAACTAGGACGAGGAAAATTGGATGAGAGCAGAAGGACTGCTAACGCTGCTTCCTTCTGCAAAGAATTCAACAACAGAAGATAAAAATTAAAGACCATACAAACAAATGTTTGAGAAGTTATGTTTGACTTACCTCTAGTTTTACTTCACAATATTTGAGAGTGTAGTGGCTTTTAGCAGTCAAGGGAGTTATGAGGAGGGAAATTTGCTTTGAGCTAAACATCACATTCGGCGATTTGGCATAGACAGTTATGAAATGCTTCCAACAACTGAAGGCAGGAATGACTAATGACTTATCCTGGAAAGAAACAAATTGAACAGGGAATAAATGTTAAGATTAGGGGGCAAACAAACAAAAACTCAAGAATAAGTCTTGAAAGGTTTATTTTGCAGAAAATTACTGCCCTAAAATTTTTACATACAGACTCCTACTCCAGTAATTTATTGAGTTCATTCAACATTGTTACTATGGGTAGTCGGTTTATTGATCATGCTTTACCAACATTTACAAATAGTATTCCCTCTTCCACCACAGAGGGGAGAAATATTACAGGCATTCAAGGAGTTAAAGTGTTTCTAAGTGATCTAGGGATGAGATCTCAGACTACGTTACACTGCAACACAATATCAACGGTGAAACTACCATACCATGTGTGCGGTGTTTAAAAAACTCCGCTCCCATTTTACTTTTCAGAGAGAGAAAAAACCAATATCATTCCTTGAAATTTTCCTTCCTTGAATTCTTCACACAGAGAAGAAAAATGCCAGATGTTTACAAGAGTTGAAGTTGAGTATTTTTCTATCAAAGAAATAAAGTATGACGGGAAGTCTGCGACGTCGCAAACCGAGATACGTGGTCTGGTAGTTTCACCATGGATATGTGTCTTTGAGAAGAAACAATTATCATAATGAGCAACTTAATATAAGGGACTGATCCATTCGTTTAGCAGCATTAATACTGAGTGGTAGAACACTGCAATTTGAGAGATCATGTGAAAATTTATTTTTAATACTCCCATAACAGGCTTCAAACATTGACTCAATGAGGGAGAGATGTAATGCCACCTCTTTCTACATATTGAGTCAATGAGAGACGTCCGGTACTGAAGTTTTGGATTTGAATTTTCAATGAATCTTCACAAATTTGACGCCATAGCATGCGGTATTAATGCTGCTAAATGTTGTGGATCAGTTCCTAGCATTAATTGATACAAGGCAATAATTATTGTTTTTCAAGGACACAGACTGTAGCAGCACAACGTAGTAGCGGATTTTGTCCCTACATTGCTTAGAATCACTTTAAGAAAATAAGTGCCTATTTGAAAACTTAAGTTTGTAAATCATTAATCTGATTTTGTCAATATTTCTGTTGTTCAGGTTCTCCAAATGTCTTCTTTTTTTTATTTAAATACTTAGAGGGTCACCAAAGGTAAAAATTCTTGAGTAAAAAAACAATTTTCAAAGGAAAGAAAATTGAAATGGGCATTTTAAAAAGTTCAAAATAATTCCAGAAAGAAAATCTAAGTAGTAAGAATAAAGAAGTAAACATACACGGAAAGCCTTTTCAGCAACTTTTAATAAGGCGTTCACAAGTGTAGTTGATTGATACAATTCAATATCCAGAATAGAGACACAGAGCTTCCACAGTGTGTCCCAATCTTCAAAAGTGTCCAATTTTTCAGCCAATATAACTGCATATCTAGATAGAAAATAATAGAATAAGATGTAAAAGCAGAGATGAAAACTCAATAGGCAAGAACTGCTGGATTTTTCTTAGAGTTTAAGCAAGTCCATTTTTCACACATTATTACGTACAAAAAAAATAGAAAAATAAGGAAAAACTACTGATTGAATATTCTTTTTAGAAAAAGTCTTCACCCATCTTTCAATATATGATGGAATTATGTGGTGGGAGTTCAGTTGAACGCGTGTACACAAACCATATCTTTGACCATGGGAAGATTATGCAAAAAAGATAACTTGGCCAGCGGGAGAATGGAAATTTTCTAATAAGTCACGGTGCTGATTAACTGGCTCACAATCAGTATAGTGCTTAGTGAAGTGAAACTTGCAATGCACAAAGAAGGCTATCTAAAGGGGAGTTAAAAACACTGAAGCAACTCAGGCCTATGACTGACTTGTTGCGTCCCTTGGTACATACAGCTTTTCTTAGTTTTAGCAAAAAGAAGGAACCCTTGATTAAAGTGAAAAAAAAAATTATTGAACTTACTTTTTGGTTATATCGTGCTTTAGCTGCTTCCACCAATCGTCAGAGTATGGTTTTGCGCGGTCAACAAATTTTGGCATGAATAAATTGATGCACTTGACAGCCAAAAGTCGTGTGGATGCACTGTCGGAGAATGCAAGGGAGAACAAATGAGGGCACCAAAAGGACATGTCACCGACAGCTTTGTGAAACGCTTCATCCTTTTTTGAAAACGCTTCCACACACAATTTTAGGGTCTCTACAGAGGAGGTTCCTTTCTTTAGACAAGTTTTCAGTTCTTCATACCTATGAAAAAGCAAAATAGTGGTGATGTAATAAGTGGTTATGAAAATTGATCTGCTACAGAAATCTGTTTCAGTACGGAGATACAGTATGATGTGCAAAATTCTTAAATTATCCCATAATCTGATCTTTCCCAGATTTTTGGAGACAAATATTTGCTTAGAACTTGGGGTTCCTGCTCAATTTCAGCTACATTTTTGGGGGAAACCTGGATTTATCTTTTTGAAAACAAGAAATAATCAAGCTCCAAGCTCAAATTGTTTTGCACATTATATTGCATATGACCTAACGGAGAACAATATATTAATAGATGAACAAAGAGGTTTTAGAAAAAAGATGGGGTCTAAGGAATTAATCCAAGGATTATTAAAAAAATGGAGAGAAAGGAAAAGAAGAGGGACGACTACGGTTGCTGTGTTTTTGAATTTAAAGAGGGTGTTTGAGACAATAAATAGGAAAATTTTGGTTCGGAAATTGATGAAAATTGGAATCAGAGGGAAGGCTATTAAATGGATTGAAAATTATTTAAGTGATAGAAGGCAACAAGTTAAATGGGGTCAAAGGTTATCAGATGAAATGTGTGTTGCATTAGGAGTGCCACAGGGAAGTCGGTTAGGACCGTTATTGTATATAAATGATTTGACGGAAGCGGTGAAGGAATCTTGTGCTACTTTATTTGCAGACGACACGCTAGTCTTCAATAGTGAAGGGGAAGAGATGGCAGGAATAGAAAAAAAATCAATAGGGATCTGGGTGGACCAGGAGTCTGGTTAAAGAAAAACTGGTTAGTCTTGAATGTATCTAGAACTAAATATATGGTTTTTGAAGCATTCAGGAATAATTGGCAAACTGAGGTGGTTTTGAATGGGAAGGTGATGGAAAGGGTAAGAGAAATGAAGTATCTAGGGATTTGGTTGACTGAAGACTTAAAGTTGAAGAAACATATTGATAGAATAACGAGAGAGTATGGGAGTAAAATAAGTTTGTTATGGAGAATAAAGGATTTTATAGGGAAGGGTAGTAGAAAGATAATTTATTACTCATTGGTTGGGTTGAAGTTAAATTATTGTATTTCGTTACTTGGAGAAGCAAATGGAAAAGAGATCAGGGCACTTCAAAAAGGGTAAAATTCAGTCATGAGATATATATTAGGATGTGATAGGGATAGTAATATTTTGGAAATGTTGAAAAGCTTAGGGTGGTTATGCATAGAATTGTTAATCAAAGTGAGGATCTTTGTAATATTATATAAGATGAGGAGAGGGATGATTAATCTGGTATAGGGAGACGAGTCGAGGTTAGGTTTAGTGAGGATAGATTAGTTGATAGGATGTTATTCTTTAAAGGAATGAGAGACTATTTGGTGTTGGGTTGTGACGAGTGCGAACAACTAGACATTAAAATGGTTTCTGGGAAATGGTAGTTAGGGAGATGGTTGGGTTTCAGGGAGCTAATTGGGGTGATGGAGAGTTGCTGCCCAGGTATTATAGGTTGAAAGAATTTGGTTTATAAAATAGGTTAATACGACAGTAGGGAAAGTAGACTGGAATTGAATGGGATTAGCCCTTGAGGGCTACTCGAAGTACCCAAAAATATTGAAAAATTAAGGTCATCAATCTAAACTTTAAAAAGTTGGGACCAAATTCTGTATAGACGTTAGTAGTGGCACGTCACAAAAAAGCAATACATATCAATTTATACACATTGGTAGCATTAAAAGAGGTTAAGCCAATGTTAATGTTTGGATCCAATTTGATATAATGGAGAATCCCTATGATGGCGTTGCCACTAATAGCGTATATATGTGACAAGGTAGATTAAAAGCAATGAAGTAAACAAACTAAATAAAATACTCACTTCAAACCTGCCATGATGGTGCATAAGCTTTCTGAAACAAAGAAAAAGAAAAATGATTCAATATGAATTTCTAGCTCAAAATTTACACTTCAGAAATTTTTCTTGCATAGTGAAAGTAACGATTGGCTGATAACAAAGCAAATCATATTCACAGCAATGTTTGCTCACCTACCAACAGCAAGAATTATGCTGGAATGCCCTTTAACTTTTGTAGCTCAAATCCCCATCACTTCGATTACTTTTGTTCTGTCACTTTATTCCAAAGTAAATGGCCAGGGACCTCACTTACTTAGATGACAAGATCGCAGCCTCTAGGATTTCAAGAAAGGAAAACTGGGCATCCTTCTGGACCCTCACTGGCTTGATAAATGAAACTAAGTTAGTTTGTCAAGACTAGACATATCCCTATCTCCACCAGGCATTCTAGCACATTTAAATGTTCAAATTTTAATGACCTGTTTTGAACTTTCGACAGTCAGCCTACTGGAGCTTCCTCAGTTTAGATGGGAAGATGTTCTCCTGACATTTCATACCGTTTCTCCTGATTGGATTCATCTTAGTGAAGATGATTATGATACTTATGACCAGGCATGATTGATAATGCATCTTCTAAACATATAGATTAGCTGATAAGTAGTGGCCGTCAGGCTTTCATAATCCTGATTCAGCAAGCTCAGGAAACTGATTACCTTTATAGAAAGACCATAGTCTCAGCACAAAGAAAGTGTTAAGGGGGCTCGGAAAAGCGAATGCTTCTAAATATACTACAGATCTTAGTTTGAGGCGACAAAAAACGTCAATCCACACAGTTCAACTTACATTTAGTGCAACGAAGATGAGATCACATTTGGATAATCAGAGATGTTGTGAGAAGAAAATAACTGCAGGGCGAAATGAGGAGGCGACTGATTTCTGCCAACATAGGTGAAGTGACTGGGAAAAGTGATCTACACTTAAAAATTAACGATGAAAATGAAGAATCACATTCACAACCTTCTCAACCTCGCGGATTATGAACCGCGAAATTGCATTTTTTATGGAAGTCAACAAGTGATGTCAAATTCAGAGAAAGTAAGGTTAGAACTAAAAGTGTAGCAGAAAGGGAGGGATTATCGCTTATCAGCAAGACAATGACCAATCAGATCTCGAGATTTTCCATGCGTCATTGTAAGATGAACTAAAAGCCCGCCATTTTTACAATGTAGCCAAATGTAATATCTTGCTCAACAGGGATTTATTTTGGTCAACAGCGCATAGTTTTGCAACAAAGAGAGCTTATCTACGTCATAGCCCAATGATTCTTACATTCCACCAATCCGGAACGATGTGAACTGCGTACTTGCACCTTCCTTGCACCACGCCGATTTGCTCAAAGCGGATTTGTCCTGAATAATGAAAGCGTGAAAGCGCGGGAAAGCATTATCTGATGTACATAAAGGGCTATCGTGAGCAGAAAAAAGAGAAAAATTACAGCAGCTATCAACGTGTTGAACAGTCACACAAGTTTGTAGTTCCTGTTCTTCTAAATACAGAATGCGACTTGGTTTTCGAAACGACTGCGGCAGAGCTGATAAAATAAACTCACTATCTCGGTGCTCCAAACAAAAAAAAAAAAAAAAAAAAAAAAAAAAAAAAAAAAAAAA